CCACACGAATGACTTGAGACTAGTCATCCTCCCAATTGAGCAGACATAGTATGTACCGATCTTTACGGATTATCAATATTAAGTTGATAATCCTATGACCCTAAACTATTTAGAATGCAGGAGTAAAAGAGGAATGTCTCATGAATTTAACTTCTTTAGATTACTTTATCTCAATCTCATAATAATGAATGAGACATTTTTCATTACACAATAATCTTTCCCTTTGATTTAACTTACTATAACATTTCGCTTCAAGGTTTGGATTTAGTGGTACTATCTTGATATACTCACTAGAGCGTGAGTTTGAGTTGACCTGCACCGAGCACGATAACTTAGTTGATTGAAGCAAGTCAGAGTCTTCTTAAGACAACAAGAAGTCGCCCTGTCGTATTCGTAAATATGGAACCTTGGTAAACAAAAAGAAATTGTTTGGCACCTTCCGTAACCGAAAATGACAAATATGGAATTTTCCGAATTCAGAAAATATGTAAATGATTTACCCAATGTGATGATTGTACACAAAATTATACGCTAAGAGATGCATTTAGTGAAAATTCACGTGAATAGTAGCTGTCCTAGCCCCCCCTCCCCCTTGCCATGGCAAAAGATTCACTGCTGGAAGTGTTCTTATATGAGAAACAATGAAAAGAAATAGAAGAGTGTGAGGTAAATGAGCATCAAATTAAAGGATTATTGCCAAACAATTAAAAAAAAAAGTATATATATATAATTGCAAAACCCGTTCACAAGCTAAAATTGGAAAAACAAACAAACAAACAAACAAACGAAAAAAAGGAAAAAAAAACCCTTGGTTAAATAAAGGGGAATATAATGGTAATTTGACTCCACAAAAAACCAACTCTTTTTACCCAAAATTTTCAGGTGTCATTAAACAAGGAGCATGAGTGCCTTGATGGCTAATGCTGAATGGGTTTGCTTTTTAGGCCCCCTAGTAATCAAAACCAAGACCTTGAGAAGGGCAATGCAAGGAAATTGACCCACCGACCTGTTACTCCCGGTAAAAACATCCCCTTTATCCAATCACGCACCCTCTTATGACCGGCAATTCTGGGTCCTTCTCGTTTGCCACGCCGGTTCGCCACTTGGACTTTACCCCTGCTGCTCTAGCTATAAATTCACTTGACTAGACCCACTGCCCTTTCAACAGAGCCAATTAAAAAAATAAAAGAACACAGAGAGAGAGAGGGAGAGAGAGAGAGAGAGAGTATGGAACGTATGAGAGGGCCTCCTAGCAGCAGGCATGCAAAATCAAGCTCCGGTAAAATCTCTCTGATAGCAAATGCCATAGGGCTTTTTTCTCTTTTATTAATTCGTATATTTCTTCTTTTCTTTTCTGTTTTTTTTAATATGTTTTTCTTGATTATGGTACATATGTGTGCATAAAAAAATAATGGTTGCGAGGTTTCAGATTTTTCTTTTTGGTTTTCTTATTTGTTTATGGATTTTTATTGCATGCATGTCTTTTTCTCCTCAAAATTCTGAGCACAAAATTTTTCTTCCTCTCTCCCGTTTTCTCCAGAGAGTTCCAAGCCCGATCTCAAGGTTTTTGCTTTCGATCCTGCGTTTGTTGATGTTTTTGCATGTAAATCTATGTTTTGTCTCAGCTCCTCTCGATATAACATATATATATATCTGTCTGATCTCATTAGGGTTTTCATTGTTGGGGCTTGAAAGAGTGTGTTTTTGTTTGTGTTTTGGAATTTCTGAAGGGATGTTATCTTTTTTTACCTTATCTTTGCTGTATAGCTGGTTTCAGTGCTTCATTCAGTGTAACGCTTGCTCAAATATTGGTTGTTTTGTGTATAGGCCGTCTCAGGAATATCTGCTTCTATTCTATATGGCTTCATTTTCACATATCTCAAATGAACCTTTCCCTTCCGCTCTTTTTATTTATTTTTATTTATGTATTTGTTGTTTTTTACTGATGTGGCATTCATGCAGCACTGTAGAGTCTCATCAAGACCTAGGCTTGCACCTGCTTTATATATATCATCTATGAATCATATATGATCTGTTATTTCTAACTCATATATCTCTATTACCTTATTATTGTCTGATTTTTGTTTCTAATGTGAATATATATATATATAGTTATTCTCTCGTCCGGGTCCGCATCGTTATATATATATATTTCATGAGATGCCTTTGATTTTCATTGTCGCAAACACCACTAACTTGGTTTGCTTTCACTAAAAACATTTGTATCTTTTTGTCAAGAAAAATATACATATATATAGATAGTTTTCTGGTGAAGAAAAGCCAAATCAAAGAGGCTTCAGTTACGTCTATTTTTCTTTCTCGAAATTTTACAAATGTCAGAAAGATTTAATTATGTCCTGTATATAATAATAATAATAATAATAATATATATTCGGATTGAAAATTTGAAATAGTATGATTATATCCCAAGTAGACCAGCTAAAAAATAGCAGAGCACATGAAAAACCTTTGAGGTGCTGACAAGGTCTTTTGGTGTTTGGCGAAGACGAGGGGGGAAGAAGAAGAAGAAGATTGGGAAGGAGAAACGAGTTTTGAACAATAGGAGTATGTTAGGTAGGGCCCACTTTTCTGTTTCTTTAAAATGAAACCGTTTTTCACACCCGCAGTGCCACGTGGACATGCAAGCGCGTGAGGTGTCAGTTTATTCTTATCTTTTGAGCTTAGCTGGAGCACTAACAGACAAACCAATCAACGTGAGCAATGAGAAAACACTTGGAACTTTTTCTTCTTTTGTCTTGACCAGAGTAAACTCAAGTCTGATGACATGTCGACGCTCGCGTCCGCGCGTGGAGTCACATTTGACGTCATCACCTCATGAACACCAAACCCTATTTTGTTTCTCAATTCCTTCTCTCTTGTTAATAGATTAGACTAGCGTCATACATGGGGGTTTGCTCAATAACTACGCTTATTATTTAGATGGTCAATTGTCTATGCGTGCGTCAAATTAACTAATTGTCTTTGCTTGCGTGTGAATAATTAACTATTATTAATTGATATGAGTCTTGCGATGAGTTTCACGGCAGGTTCAAAGTCTTTGATATCTTGATATACATTGTATTTAGCATTAGCATAGACTGGATATAGTGACTTGTAATTGCATGCATCTTGGTTAATGATCTTCCATATGGAGCTTTTATATCGTAGGCAAAACCATTTTTCTCTTTGGTCGAACATGGTTGGCTAAACCATCTTCCATTTCTGCACACACACGCACAGAGACAATTGATAAATTATTCACACCCATAAATGTACACCCTGATTACCATAACCATATCTTCCCTTACCCATTAATAAACTGACCAATATTGTTACTTTCAAATATATTTTTAAATAATATATAAATAAAAGCTTGTTAATTGGTCTCTCATTTATGAACGTATCTGTACAGTGATTAATTATTGCCCGACTTATATGAACTGTTTTTTTCAACCTTGAACGCAGCACAAGTCAACAACTCCGAGAGGAGCAACTCCAAAGTCCCAATCAACGGGATCCCAGCAGCAACCAACAGCAACGCCTCTGCGGCCGCAGCCAACGCCGGTGATCCTGCACAGCTGGCCCCACAACATTGTGTTGTTCGCGAGCAGGACCAATACATGCCTATCGCCAACGTGATCCGCATAATGCGTCGTATTTTGCCACCCCATGCAAAAATATCTGACGACGCCAAGGAGACCATCCAGGAGTGTGTGTCCGAGTACATTGCCTTCATCACTGGGGAGGCCAACGAGCGCTGCCAGCGCGAGCAGCGCAAGACCGTCACTGCCGAGGACATCCTCTGGGCGATGGGGAAGCTTGGCTTCGACAACTACGTCGAGCCCCTCACTCTTTTCCTCCAGAAGCACCGGGAGTCGGAGAACAGCGACAGGTCTACTCTGAGAGCTGAGTTTATGAAGAGGGATCGTGCAGTGGATTTTGGACCTGCTGGGCCCCCGATTGCACTGATGCCTCCTCCTCCACCTTATGGGCCTGGCTATCCTTTTGGGGCCCAGCATGGTCCTGGGATGTTCGACCCATCCATGCTTGGGATGTTTAGGGATGGGTCGTCATCTGGCTCGGGCGGAGGAGCCTCGGCGGCTTCAGGGGATCAGGGCCAGAATTCCTTGGGGGGGTTTGATCCGTTTGCTCAGTTCAAGTGAGCACAATTTAGAGCAGGGTCTCTGCTTACCAGAAAACAATGAATAAGTAGTAATTAAAGACTTTTGGAATAATAAAGTGCTCGCTGGTTGCTGTTGTAGACCAGTGTGGTGTACGTTTATGTTTTATCATGGTTTCAGAATAGCTGGGTTGCTTCATTTGAGTTTTAAGACACCTTGAGTAGTTGTAATGTAATCTTTGATTAATGAAACTTTTATTTTTATTTTTATAGATTTAATCGTTTTATTAGTTCCTGAACTTAGACCCGATTTGCATTTGATGAGTCCCTCAATTTCCAAAATCGTTCCTGTGGTCCTTTAACTTCACTTTTGTTAGGACAAATGGTCCTGCCGTCAATTTTGTTAACTTTTTCTGTTAAATGCAGGGGCAAAATGGTATTGTTATATTAAAACAAAAATAATAATAAAAAATCATATCTTTAAAATAACAATAAAAGAAAATCAATTAAAAAACCAACCAAAAAAAAAATCAAGTTTGGGGGGAGTAGAAATCAGGATAGAGGGTGAGAGAGAGAGTTTAATTTTAATTTTTTTAAAATTTTTTATTCATATTTTAATCAATTTAATACAAAAATATCATTTTGCCCCTGCATTTAACAGAAAAGTTAACAAAATTGACGTCATGACCATTTGCCCTCACGAAACTGAAGTTGAAGGATCACGAAAACGATTTTGAAAATTGAGGGATTCAAATGCAAATTGGGTCTAAGTTTAGGGACTAATAAAACGATTAACTCTTTTTTTTTTTGGTATTTGTTTCAAGGGACAAAAGGCAGGCCAGCTGTAAACCCTAAACCAAAATTCCAATGCAGTCCAAATGTATCATAGCTCAAATCCAATTACAAGCCCAATCCATGACATCAAGCCCATTTGTAGAGACGACATTATTTCCATCACCAAACGAAATACCCTAATCCAATGGACACCAACAGTGCAGAACCAACCTCAACCTAAGCTTGTTTGAGGCCTTTTTATACCAAGCAATAGGCTTTTTCTTTTAGGGAGATTCACTAAAAAAAACTTATATAAAATGAACTTTAGAAATACACCCAAAATTCATTTATAACATAACAAAAAGACTTTTAACTTCTTTTAAATTACAAAACTGCCATTGATTTCTTAAAACAAACCGAATCCCAAAACTTGATAAAAAAAAGCTCAAAACACTCAATAGGACATCAAAGTAATTTAATAATCAAAATTAAATTCAATAGAACCAGCTATCATTTTTTGGATTTGCTTATAGAAATTAAATGGTGTAAGGTTTATTTATAGTTTGTGTTAAGAATGGGTATATGACTAAATATCTAATTTTTTTTATATCCCGAGAGCTTACTTTGCAACCAGAACAGGTCTTTGACTGATCCTAACTCCCAATTTGAACATATGGAGCTAACATTGTCGAGTAAGAGTCATCCATGTGTACAATTTATACATGTCAACATAACCTTATAAGTTGTGCCGTATGAAACACACAGATTATGTGACCACTGAAAAAAAACCAACAACCAACATGAATGCTCTGTGATGGGGATATGCCCACCCAAAAAGCTTAACTATTATATGACAAAACAATAATCATTTCAATATTCATCTAAACAAGTACAACTAATCATTAAAACAAGTCATTATACAAATGCCATGTCGCCCTTTGACACCATGAACCCCATTTCTTTTACAACACCATTCTACATATATATTTTGCCATTTTCCCCTTTCTCTTCATCTCCAAATAAGGGCTATATCCTCAAATATAGCCTAAAATTTCTAAAATTCATTTTCAAGAGTGGCCTACACAAAGGATTACAAAAAAATAGAGGGCTACACAAAAGGCCAATTCCTAAAATGAGGGTCACATGTGGCCCTTTGGCTAGTATGTGCTAAATATTTGGATGGGGCCCAGCTGATGTCACCTAGCCGTTAGATGACATTAGCTAGGTTTTTTTTTATAAAAAAAAATCTAAAAAGTTCCTACATTTTTTGTATAAATACCTACCTCATTCTTACATAATTTCTCACAATCTCTTCTGTTTTTTTTACAAACTATCCTTCATTTTTTTTTTTCCCGAATAAGAGTCATCCATGTGTACAACTTATACATGTCAACATAACCTTATAAGTTGTGCCGTATGAAACACACAGATTATGTGACCACTGAAAAAAAACCAACATGAATGCTCTGTGATGGGGATATGCCCACCCAAAAAGCTTAACTATTATATGACAAAACAATAATCATTTCAATATTCATCTAACACAAGTACAACTAATCATTAAAATAAGTCATTATACAAATGCCATGTCGCCCTTTGACACCATGAACCCCATTTCTTTTACAGCACCATTCTACATATATATTTGGCCATTTTTCCCTTTCTCTTCATCTCCAAATAAGGGCTATATCCTCAAATATAGCCTAAAATTTCTAAAATTCATTTTCAAGAGTGGGCTACACAAAGGATTACAAAAAAATAGAGGGCTACACAAAAGGCCAATTCCTAAAATGAGGGTCACATGTGGCCCTCTGGCTAGTATGGGCTAAATATTTGGATGGGGCCCAGCTGACGTCACCTAGCCGTTACATGACATTAGCTAGGTTTTTTTTTTATAAAAAAAAATCTAAAAAGTTCCTACATTTTTGGTATAAATACCTACCTCATTCTTACATAATTTCTCACAATCTCTTCTGTTTTTTTTTACAAACTATCCTTCATTTTTTTTTTCCATTGAAATTAATTTTTAAGTTTTTTGTAGAACAAGAATAAATCTATGGGGCTAATCATGTGCCGACACATGGATGTCAAAAATCCTATTCCAAAATATTTTTCTCTTCTGAAATGTATTTTAAATAGGATTAAATAGTAGTTTAATTAAATTTACATAATATACCAAAAACTATTAAAATATTAAATTTAGTCATTTGCTGCTGGAGACGGTTAAAATGTAAACTATTAATTCCTTATAAAATCATTTTTTAGAGGGCTAAATATAGCTCTCCCCACTTGGAGATGACTTGATCTTCAGGTTTTAAGAGTGCTGCTATTTGTACTATATTTGTTTGACCACATCTCTAATACAGGCGAGTCTCACATATATTAGTAGGTCCCACCTATATTAGAGGGAGGATCAGAAATTTGATCAATAAACGTAATACAAATCCATAGGACCGTTTTATATGATCTATGCTGCCTCAAATTAAAAGCTCTATGTTTGTAAGAATGAACGTCTAGATTAAAACTAAGTGACAAATTCAACAATTCTCAAACCTTCTCAACATGCCCACCTTGGACCCCAAAAGAAGTATAATAATAGGAGGCCAGGGAGATGAGCGCTCTAATAACAAGAAAGTGTGTAAAAAGCATATATGTTTGGTCCTCCTCTTCCAAAAAACATGGCAGGATTCATTTTGATGCTGACCTATCGCTCTGCGGGAATATTATCATGCCCATCCCGTCCTCTTCCAAAAAAACATACTATTATTCTCTGCAGCCAAATCCAGAATCTACCAAAAATTGACAAATTCCAGGCACATCATGATCAGCAAAACGATTGGATATCCACTAATAAAGAGAGAATGATGATCTTTTTGAGCACGAGATGAGGCGATGAGAGTGTTAAAGCTGAACATTTCTATACTGCCATGACAGATGGTGCGCTCAAAAGTGTTGCTGCACTTCACTGCACGCATGCCCCCAAGGACAAAGTCCTGGAGGCTGGACCATGCACCATGTTCTTTCCTTTATTTTTTCTTTTCCTTTTAATTTTAGGGTAAATAATATGGACCACGTACGTTTTGCTTTCAAATCTGTATTTAAAAGAGCATGCACGTACACGGACATATATTTTATATATATATATATATAGCTAAAATCATGATTCAAACACAAAAGCGGCAAAATAGAATCCTTCTTTAAGATGTTTGTAATCTTCACTAAAACTACAACGCGGATACCATAAAAAATGCACATATATGTATACCTAAAATCATGACTGAAATTCAAGAGACTTGTAGTTCAAATGATTAAGAGTATTTACCATTTTATATATATATGAGGTCCTATATTCGATTTTCCCCTCCACCAATATCGTTTGTATTAAATAAATGAAAATTCATGATTGAAATATCTTTAACTAAGGGCTAGTTTGGCATTGTTGTGCTGTGAAAATAAACGTTGTCACATTTGTTGTGAGAGAAATAAGCTGTGAGATAAAGCTGTTTGGCGTTTGGTAAACTTTTTGTTAAAAGTGATGTTGGTACAATAATCAGTTTCTAAATGTTTGGTAAATTTTTGTGTGAAAATATGAGCGATGTATAATGACTAAAAAAGGTATTATGTTGAAATATGTTTCAAATTCGAATCTCTGCTCTCATATCAAGAAAAACTAATAAAATATATTTCAAATTCGAATCTCTGCTCTCGTATCAAGAAAAACTGATATATAATTAGATGTGAACAAAAGCTGATGCATAAATGAATTAGATAGTATGTGGTTTCTAAACCCGTTGAGACTTTTCACTATTTCGATTTTGCCTTATACCTTGGCCTAGTCTGCCTCTTTCCATAATCTGACCGACTGTTAGACGTCTCTTTCTGGAACGGCCTGCTGTTACACGTCTCTCTCCCTAGCATTACTACTGGCATTGGCACCAGTCCTCTGCTGTCGTTAATCTATCATCTGAATACTTAATCTTCACATCTTAACATCATAGGCTCATAGCATTTATAAATGATGAATCTTTGATGCCCCCCAAAAGTTTGGCCTATTTATATTCAAACTTTAACTTGGAAAGGAAAAAAAAAAACCCTACTTTAGAGAGAAAAAAAAAGTTAATTAATTAGAAATATGATATGTCATGAATTTCGAATATAATATTAAAAAATAAATACATTTGTAATAATATTAATGAATTGATAGCACCATCTGACAATGTGACTATCACATTAAAAAATCTATTGAAATTCATGATAGCGATACAATCC